TCTGCGTAATATTTTTAACTTGTCCATTCAGATTAATTTTAAATAATTCAACCCGTCTGCAGCTTATTATTTTATCGTCTGTCTGCCAATAACATTGGGGATTTGGAGAGTGCAAAAACGTATATTCTAGGTGCAGATCAAAAATCAGATGGACGCAGCAGATATAAAAATGTTGCAACCCATTTAATCTACAGAGATATGCTTATTATCGCGAGAATCAAAGAAAGATTCTACCCTATATGACCCAAAAAAATTTACCATTCAATTTAGATATGTTAATATGCTCTTCATGCCGACAAAAATTGACAAACATTCCTTATACTTCAAATGACAATGTAGATATTGATTCTCCCCCTCATATAATTAATCAAGAGGCTATTGATAACATTATTATAGTAGGGGAATCTCTCATTAAAAGAAAACGCTTATGTGAAAAGAAATATTCGAAGAAAAAAATATCTAGAGTAAAATAAAGTTTTAACGACTAAAATATATAATTATCTTCATCAAATGATGAACATTTTTATGAAATTCTAGATACCTTAAAAATTAAAAATATTATATGAAAGATATTTATTATTAGAAATTTGTTACATTATTAAGTGTCTAATGGGCATTTTCACATTCCCCTCAGTTTAATTAGTATATTTAATAGAAATTCAAAATTTTTAAGTATAAAAAGTGAAAATATCCGGTTATTGATAAGTTAGCAGCAAAATTTTAACCATAATCCGTAATTTCAAAAGCGCCATCTATTTTTTTTTCAATTTTTGGAGTCGATATTGTTGCCAAGATCGTATATATATTTAGCAAAGGTGTCTAAATAAAAAGCAATAAAAAAATTTCGAAACAAACTCCCTTTTAAAAACACAGGTAAAGCAAAATAGATAAACCGGAAGTTAACGGCTCAAATTGGCACCAATTTTTATTGTTTTTTAATAACACTTTAGAGATTTTTTTTACCTACAATTTGATATATTATATTTTTTACTATGAATAGTTTTTGAGATATAGCATTTTAGATATTTTACAGAAAGTGGCTCTTTTTTGCACCTTTGAGTCCCTATATCTCGGGAACCAGGTGTGCTAGCGAGCTAAAATAAACGGTTTTCTCATTTTCTTAACTATCTAAATAATTTCAGAAATTTTATTTTAAAAGGGTTCGGCCGAATCGTGATCGATTTGACGTGGAATGGCCCAAATAATAGATTTATTAATTTGTAAAATAGAATACATTGCCGAAATAACCAATTCACCCTACCTACCACTGTAACACATTACCGAAAAAAAAATGTGCACATTGCCGAAAATAACACATTGACGCTAACATATATATTTAATATAAAATAAGGACTATTATCATATTAATTATTTTTTAAACAACTGTTTCCAAATAATAACGATGGTATTACCGTAGAAAATCCAGTTGGTTAGACATTGGGGTATAAATAAATTTAGAAATATTAATTCGTTTTTCGGCCATTTAAAGAGTTTCCTAGTTCCTATGTTTCAATGTGCATTTGAAAAACTTTGTCTCCTGATCTAACTAACCTTCAACTAATAGAAACTCAAAAAAAATTCTAATGGTAGACGCGATCCCGAGTAGGAAAGGGGAGATATTACTCACGAACGATGAGTTCCAATTGCCATTGGCCAGGCTAGGTTGTCTTATTGTGCAGCCTACAATAAGCAAGTTGATCCATTTTCTAGGCAATGTTTCTCTTGTCTTAAAGTCAGCGGTCGCTTTTTGCGACATGGCAATCTGAATTGGCTGATCAGTAAATCTTTGATTTCCAAGCGGTTTCTATAATAGTTGATAGCCTTTTGTTCTTTTAAATGAGGATGGTAAGTATCCCGATATGACTTTAACATCTTGACTAGGTGGCAAATGATTTGGATGTGTCAGGCGTTATCTCATCTCCCTCCAATAGGAATTCTGACCTCTTGGAACTCCAAGAAATTAAAAAATGCAATAAATATAAGTCCCTCTTAAATTCTTTTATTTGTATCCCTTTAATCCTTAGTGTTTGGGGAACCCCAGTCCCAAATCCCTAAAAATTTTTAATCAATTGGGCAAGACGAGTCCCTTCCCTACAAACAAAAAACTCTAGTTTAAATTCTAAAAGGGAATCTCTTAGTTCCTTTGACACACAGCAACCCCCTCCCCCTATTTTATTCATTAATAATAAAGTTAACAAATATACTTTATAACTTATGATTTTAAAATTTTCATTTTTCATCTTTTTTATATGCATTGCATTTTATAATTATTTTATAATTTAAAAATTATAAATAAATACCCTATATTTTTTTAAAAAACAATATATTAGCCATGTTTAAAATTAGTGATTGAATTTTAATATTTTTAATTATTTATTAAATATCCATAATCATTTTATGTGCTGAATTTAATTTCTTATCTAATATATATAATTGCCGTAATCAAGAAATGAACGTTTTTCGTATAATCTTAATGGCAATTTTTGTTTTTTCTATCAACTTTCCTATCATCTTAATGTTAAATAAATTGAAGGAGACTATATACCTCTAATGTTAAATTTTTTTTTTCGAAAAAATATTCATCTTTTTTAAAAATTTTTATTACATCAACGAGATTCGAACCACTGACTTAAGGTTCGATAGCAAACGTTCTTTCCAGTCAGCCCTCCTCTATATTTTTGTAATACAATTCTTCTTATATATGAAACTATAATATCAGTATTTATTTTTTTTTATTAGAAGCTCCAGGTTTGAGAAAAAAATTTCAAAATTATTATCGGTTGGCCAGGTTTGACAAACATTTTTTAAAATTATAATCGGTCGGGCGGCCTGGGTTTGGAAAATATTTTTATTGGAAGCTGAAAAAAATTTCAAAATTATTATCGGTTGTCCAGGTTTGATAAAAATTTTTCTTAAAAAATATTTTTATAAATTATATTGGGCTGGGCTTGGGGAAAATTTTTCAAATTATTATCAGCTTGGACGCTTAGGAATTTTTTTACTATATGGATCAGACATTGACCTAAATAAATAAACCAAGGCCCATAAAATATGATTTAGATTGTATTTTTAAATTCATTATGATTTTTTAAAATATTTTATTCCAGTATAAATTATATTGGGCTGGGCTTGGGGAAAATTTTTCAAATTATTAACAGCTTGGACGCTTAGGAATTTTTTTATTATATGGATCAGACATTGACCTAAATAAATAAACCAAGGCCCATAAAATATGATTTAGATTGTATTTTTAAATTCATTATGATTTTTTTAAATATTTTATTCCAGTATAAATTATATTGGGCTGGGCTTGGGGAAAATTTTTCAAATTATTATCAGGACGCTTAGGAATTTTTTTATTATATGGATCAGACATTGACCTAAATAAATAAACCAAGGCCCATAAAATATGATTTAGATTGTATTTTTAAATTCATTATAATTTTTTTAAATATTTTATTCCAGTTCTCAACTACCAAAAATATTATTATCTTTGGTTGGGGTTGGGGAAATTTTTTCAAAATTAATATGGCCTTGGACCTTACTTGGGAATTTTTTAAATATTAAACATTTAGGCTAGAATTATCAGTAATATTTTAACAAATAATATTGATATGGGTATCAACTAAAAGCTTTAAATAGTTTTGACTCAAAACATAGTATTTAAACTTAGTTTTCATGGATTGAACCCGGCCTAAAGGTGGAAGGAGGTTATAAAGAATAAAAATTGGATATTATTTTCAAATAACAGATACCAACTATCATAAGATTAAGGAGAAACTCATTCCCCTTCATTTTTGACGGGCTCAGAAATGCTGACTAACGGGAGCTCTGGTACTCTTAGTTATATATTTTTCATTTTGCCTTTCAAGAAAGACGGGTCATCATACTTTTCTCCCTTATTCGATGATAGATGAATTAGAAATTAAGAATATCTTATGAGGTGTGATTCATAAATTTTAATATTTTTATAAAATATATATTAATAAAGTATATTTAGTAACATATATACAAACTAATTACCCCTCAACCCCGTCATTTTTGAAAAATTGTTATATACATTTTATTAGTTTTTTTCCTACTATTATTATTTTATAATTTATAATACATTTATCTACAGTATTAATGTAATATAAATTTATAATTAAATATTGTTCAACTATTAAAATATGAAACCCTTGATAAAAACTTAAAAATAATAGCTAAATTTCAAATAATCAAACTAAAACAAATATATTCTAAAATATTAACTATTTTATATTCATGAATATCAGAGGTCTGCATTGAGGGGATGTTTATACCGCCCGCCAAATTTTTTAAAGAACAGGTGGGTGAGTGGGCGAATTAAGAAAAATATGGGCGAGTTAAGAAAAATATGGGCGGGCAGGTTAAAAAATTTACAACTTTTATTTTTTATTTAAAATCATGTAAGTAATATATGCTCCCTAAAATTTCAACATTTTTAATACCAAAGTATAGATACTTAATATGTTGTCGGAATAAATTAATTAGATAAAAAAAAAATATATCGAAAACATGTTGGATTTGATTAGCATGGAAGAATTAACATTAACGTCGGGTGAAAATCTGATTTTACCCGTTTCCCCAAAAGCAGAGAATTCAATTAAAGATTATTAAATTATATAAGTTAAAGTTTATAATTTACTTTTTTTTAAAATGTAAAAAATATTTTTTTATTTGAATTTTCATTTTTTTAAAAAATAAAATATATTTAATAAGGAATTAGATAGAAACTGGTTATTTTAATATGACCAACCAGATCGAATTGATAATCCAGGCTTATTTATATTAGCCATTTTGAAATTATTTTTTGAGTATTACATTTCTTTTTAAAGTAGATGATTAAGTATAATATAGCTACCAAAACATGTAATAAAAAATTCTGCTAATAATAGTAATTCAAAAACTGTAATATGCTAATTTCTAATACTACTATAAAACAGACATCTAAAAAAACTAATAAACTCTGTAATTCTTACATTTGATGATAGCATGGTGTTCCATACTATTAAGCTTATTTGAGAACGAAAATAAGTTTGTGAATTATCCATTATGTTAGAGAAATCCATAAATGATGTAATTGTATCTAATACTTGAGCTTTTAAATGTAATGGCATAATCATATTTTGTGAGATTAGATTTGTCAATAAAACAAGTGGATGTCCTGTTTTGTTAGATTTATTAAGTGACATATTTGAGGAAATATTCCATTCGATAAAATATTTCTTGGACTCTAAATCCTAGAATACAATTATTTAAGAAAACATGAATTAAAAACAAATAAATTGATTAAGAAATAAATGTGGCTTTAATAAAAATCATGTTTAGGATTACCATATAATAAGTATGACTATTATTTGAATATATGTTAATTATTACATTGCTTATAGCATTGGATAATAGTCTCAAGCTTAATGTCATTCCTAAAATTTCGAATTCATTCATAAATAACATATTTTTCTCAATATTAGTATTCAACCCTGATTTACTAGACAGTGAGAATGAAGATTTTGACATATCAATTGTTTCTGATTTCAAAGCAATCAAATATTTTTCAAAAGTTGCAAAAAAATGATTCCAGGATATTATTGAAGAATGTTGTGCTAAATAATAAATATTGTAATAATAATCATTTAGTTTTACCTGATGACTTAAGCATTTTTTGAACTTCATAAGAACAATTTTGACAATTATTAGTAATTGATATCAACATTTTTAGGTAAGGAAAAAATTGAGTTGGAAAAACACTGATATTTCCGTCACACAAAATAGAAATGAACTTTGTAAAATTTAAAAAAAAATTATCTCTTAAATGTAATAATTATTCTAAAATTATTTCTAAAATATATTAAGTCAAACTTTTTGTTAGATAATATTTTATATTCACTATATATATATATATATATATATATGTTACTTTATATAAATTAATCTGATTAGACTTAGGTGCACTAATTTCTTTTCTAAATGCCCCACTTTTATATATGTCTATGTTTGTGGGTGAATCCCAATATTTGGAAGGCAAATCAAGTTTGAAATTATCAACACCATATAAATCAGTTATCAATAACATTAATTCTTCAAAATATTGTGGTAGGTCATTGTATGGAATTAAATCCTCTGTATCGGGATTTGAAAGTAATCTGGCAGTATCATCTGAATCATTTTTCAATTCCCTAATCTATCAACATTATATTTAAAAAATTGCATAATTCTATTGTAAATTGACTTTCCAAGGAAAATTAACTAATAAATTTTCAACAAGATTGTCAATAATTAATTGAAATGATTCATCTGTAGCAAAAAAATTATTATTTTGTATGATATAACATTTGATGGTAGTAAAAGTTTTATCCATTATACATTTGTCAAGAATATCTTCTTCGTCAATGTCATATATTGAAGATACTAAATCTATCATTCATAAATATATTTAAGAAATTTATTATTATACTTATTAATTGGGATAAATCAAAATTTTGTTTTAAAGTTCTAAGGAATATTGCATATGCCATTAGAAAAATATTTTTCATTTCATATCCAAGTGGCCATTCATCATTATTTTTAATATTTAAAAAATCACACATTTTAATAATATTTGAGTCATTAATCCACCAACAGCCTATTATAAGATATGTAAATAAAAAACCAAGATATTTTCCTTTACCAATTTTTTGTAAATATTTGAAGTCATTTTTATCTTGAGAATGATTATCAGTATTCTTACATGTCAATTTTTTAATATTATTGAGGTTTTTGGTTAAAATTAATGGTGAAAAACAGCTTAACACTCCCATAACACATGTAAATGATATATTATTAAGAGTTTTATTAATGTCAAATTTATTAAAATAGTCTTGCTCAAATTTATGTTTAATTGTTGGCAAATTCTTGGAATAATTGATAAATCTTGAATGATGTCTTAAAGATTTTATATATATATATAAATCACTTAAAACAATATACTTCAAATATTTTATCAGTAAAATAATATCATTGATAGTACATCCATATTTTGAACATATTAAGAATATAACACTCAAAACACTCTGATTAATAGTGTTTATTGAATCCCATAACTATATAAAGAGATGTGAATTTAAATAAGAGCATAAGCCTACCTGTTTTCTAAATTGAGGAACATTTATAGTATAATCTTTCTTTTTTAAATTTTCAAAAATAAAATTGAAATCTATATAATAATCCTTTGACTTATAATATCCTATGTTTAAAAATAATTTATAATTTGTTGTTGATATTACCCAATAATTTATCAATATATTGTCCATCAAAGAATGCAAGATAGAAATAATTTTTAAATTTAACATATGTATTATGAAATTGTGATAAATTATAATTTGTTTTAGTGTCATCATTATCATCATAAAAACTAAGGAGTCTTGAGGTTTCTATTAGATAGGTAATAATCATTTTAATTGCATTTATCATAAAATATTTTGATTCATAGTAAAGGAGACATGCTATTGATAATTTTGAATAAATTGGAGGAAATATTTCTAACTGGTATTCAGCTATAAGTTAAAATGATATATATTTATATTATATGAGCTAAACCTGATAAAATCAAATCTAATGATGTAATTTCATTTATATTTAACAGATCACTTATATAAATGCTATCTTCAATTTGTAATTTGTTTGGATATATTTTTGATGAAGGATTAGAATCTAATATGATACCATCAAGCTCAGACTTTAACAATAATTCTCTCATTAACGGATTTTGAGGCTAATTATACATATAATTTAAGAAAAAAAATGGTCATTTACTTGATCTTTAAAATATGTTAAATTCTTAACATCTATCTTATCTAACTTCTCTATCATAATCTCAATTAGGTTATATTTATTATTTATAAGAATATCTTCTGTAAGTTTATATATTTCTTTTCCAAAATCCCATGAACAAAAGTCTAAATAAAATTTGTTAAGCATTATATAGTTATTCGCATTACCAAGTTTCATTGCCATATTTTAAATTTTTGCGAAATATAGGAATATACTAGTGTATTTCTTCATGATTGTCAACACGTCACATTAACTGTTGGATTTTAGTAAATCATTATTTTTATAGTATATTGTCATTATTTTTTTATTAATGTTCGAAAAAAAACGTCTTTAAGATATTCGTTTCCTTTAAATAATTTAGAATTATAGTGTCAATATATATTCCTAGAAGCTTTACGTCAGACTCCAACTCAGAATCATTGGTCCTAAATCGACTAGTCAACTCCTTGTTATAACTTATAACTTCAGTCATGAACTCAAATTAAGAATCGTGAAAATTTATAAAATAGATTTTTAATTTCAATTAAGATCTCGAGTCCTGCAAGTTAACAACTCTCCATTATTTCTTATAATATAATTAATAAAAAATGGTATGGTCGATCACACATTCATATTTTCAATCACTCGTATTGTTAAATAGTCGAGTTTTTACAACTCTAAATTCAAATTGGAGTCGCACAAATTGAGCAGCTCAATGAGCCGCATGAGTTGGCAATTAGTCGACTACAGAGTCGGCTCGATGAGTCGACTAAATTAAATTATCAAATGACTAGTATTTTAATGCTCTGAGGTAGCCCTCGACTGCACTAATATATACTTATATATTTTCATGTATTTTAATTACTGAATGCAAATGTCGTAATTTGTTGAGCCTGTTGTGAAAGTGTGTATTTCTTCATTCATGACCATTCGATACATAATTATTCGATACATAATTAATTATACAGTCAAAACCGTTTAATTGCGAAAGCTTGGGACCGAAATATTTAAAAATTTCGCAATTATCCGTTTCGCAATTATACGATTAAAATTCAACAATTTATTTATTAAAAATTAGTTTGTGTTTTTTATAAAGATATTTATCATCTATATATATTTTAATCATATAAGCCATCAAACTTTGCAATAAATACATTAATTAATGTAACCAACTATATATTTTAATTTGAATAAGTTATGTAACGAATAAAAAACTAAATTTTAAAAATTTATCTTATTTGTTGAAACATATGATCATAGCTTTTTTTCTTCCCACCAATAATCCTATATTTTTATCGTCAATTCATCAAGTTATTATTTTATAAAAAGTATTCAATTAATTTCGATCAATCAAATAATATTAAAATATCTGAACCACTTGAAAGTAATGTGATATATTTTGATATATATATTTATATTTTCTCTAGATCTAGACATGATTATAGACAGAAAGGAACAAAGAAAATAAGACTTTTAATTATAAAAAGATTGTAATTATTTATGTATTAGCATTATAGTTGTTAATAAATTATTTTTTATTGAATAAAATTATAATTAAATTTGTTTACTTGATTTTATCTCATTTTTTATTTAAGATATGTAAGAATTAAAGCAAAAAAAAGCTTTTGTGAAAGATAATAACATTTTTTCCTTTACAATACCCTAATATTTATTTCCATTAATTTTAACTACTTTTGTCATTTTACCTTCATTAAATTTACTGAAATATAATTTTACACAAATATATTATCACTTTTTGAATTCTAATTTATTATTAAAGCCAAATTTTAAAATATTTTGCCTAAAAAATTGGAAACAATAAGATTAATATAAAAGAATTTAAGTTTATTAAGTGTTTTGTTTTCATTCACATGATATTTGATTTAAAATCCTGTGCCTATTCAAATCTAATATTATAAATGTAAATGTATTAACAGACCATGCTGGAATGAAAGTTTATTAATGCTTTATAACATAAGATTTTATTTGAACTAATTTTATTATACATGCATCACAATTATTATAAAGTAATGTAAGATTTAATAAAAATATTTTGTGATAAGAGTTTGGCTAGACTCTGGAGTAAATAATTCTTTTTCCACTATATTCTCTAGCTTTCTTAGTGAATCTTGATCCCTTAGATGTTTATGAGCATATTCAAGAAAAGTATAATAACCATTAAGAGCATGATTTTTTGTAATTAAATGATCAGATATCTCTAGGTTCCCTTCGTCATTCTCGGAGCTTTCATAACCATCTATAAAAAATAATATTAATTAAAATTTTAAGTAATTAAACCTTCCAACTCTAATCTTATCTGATTACAAATATCCTGATCATCTAAAATTCCATGGCAGCTAGCATCATCATTGTGTAACCCATATTCTTCAAATATGGGATCAAATTCATCTTCTTCGTTGTCAGTTAATGCTATATCATCCTCCGATTCCCAATCAAATGCCATAGACTTATCAAAAAATTTAGCTTCAATAAAACACTTTATGATTGTGGTACTTGTCACCCCACCCCATGCAAATTTTATAAGATAGAGGCTATCATAAAGTGTAAATCTTTTATAAAAAGAGGTGGTGTCATTTCCTTCCATCAATGTTATCATTTTTCTCATGATACCCTTTCTATAATGACATTTAAAGGATCTAATTGCACCCATGTCCAAACATTGAATTAATGATGTTGTATTTGCTGGTAAAAAAATTAATTTTATATTGTTAAATGTTAATTTTGTTTTGTGACAAGATGTATTGTCACAAAACAATAAAATTTTCTTCTTTAATAAGGAATCCCATTCTTTAAGAATATCTTCAAAAGTTGAGGTTGTCATCCAGCTGCTTTTATTGGAGTTTTTTTATTTTTAAAGCACCTAGGGTTTTTAAATTTCCCTACAACATATAACTTTTTATCAGATCCATCCCCATTTATGATAAATAGAACTGTGACCTTTTCCTTGTCTGGTTTGAAGCCCAGTGGTTGAGTTCCACTAAATTCCATTGTGCCCTTTTGTAATGCTCGGTAGTATAGTCCTGTCTCATCACAATTGTAAATATTACTCCTTTGATAATCTTTAATCGGTGATGGGAGTGTATTTCTGCTCCATTCATTTGCATTAATAATATCTGCACTCCCCTTTTCATTGCAAACATTATGAAAATTTATATTCTGTCTTTTCCTAAATCTCTGCAACAAGCTGCTAGTAGGAATGCCTATAATTTATATATATATTATAAAAACTTATAATTACCTTCATTGAATGTTTGGCTAAAAAACATAGCCTTTTCTAACATCACTGGCCCATTTAGACTGCAATTTTTACTTCGCCTTTGGGTAAACCAAACCAATAAAGCTGCTTCTGTCTTTGGGTAACAACTCATTCTAACTCTTTTAGTTGTAGGAGTTTTATTCCTTAGAAATTGTGAGCATAGATTTTATTTATTCGCTATTAAACGGTAGATTGTCGAGACGTGGCAATTGTAATTTGATGCTAATTGTGTTTTTGATGTAGTGTTTAATTTATCAATTATTTCTTTTTTATGCTTCAGGGTTAAT